CAGAAGGTCTCCACTGCAATATTCCACAAAACGGGCAATAGTCAAACTTTCTGATCAAACTATGCCTTCAGTTTATTCCAGCAAACAAACGGAAAACTCTGCGATGGCAGCCTGTAGATCAAAGCTATAGAGGATGAGCTTTTATTTCCGGGTGGATCATCTCAATCAGTGGTCCTGCTATCAGTCAATCATTCTGGTGATATGTTAACGTAAGGCCGTCTTATGTGCTCGTCCCGTTAGCTTTCTTTTTCTGCCTACCTTTAGGCGTATCTGTGGTGAGCTGCAGTTTCAGTCATTGAGGCTCACCTTTTTCACCGTGGTTCTTTTAAAATCGCCGACGGTCAGAAGAGATAAAGTCTCTTTGAAGTGAAGAAAAGAGAGGCCTCAGAAGAGGCATATATATTCAAAATGTTTTGCCCGGAGAGCTCTTCTCGCAAAGTATTATTGGATTTGCTGTCACAAAGATGGCGCAGGCACCGCGCGGTGGACCAGCGGGGAAGTGATCATCTGTCCGAACGGTCAGGACGTCAGACACAGTTAGCTGGTGTGCGCTATCAGAACAGCAACTTTTAAACAGAGCGGGCATGAGCAGAAATGAGCTCTCGCACGCGCATTTCTATTTTATTTATTTTTTTAAGTGGAGAGGGCAGGTCTTTTAAAAATTTAAGGGAGAAAAATAATTCAAAGCAGAAAAAAAATCAACCAGGAAAGAAGAAAAATCCCAAATGGACTTAATAAAAGTGCAACTTTCCTTTTCTCGCTCTTTTCCAGTGAGGTTGTGAAGTTGGTTTGGCTTTAAATAGGCTTGAAAAGCAAAAATAGGAGACAGGGTGCTGCAGCTAGAGCACCCTCTGCTGGCCAAAAGGCTAACAGCAGCAGGTATTCCCAGCCTGTTTCTGCAGCATACAGCAGAGTTTCTTTATATTTTTCATTTACTGCTTTGAAGCAGCTCTTTATTCTGGAGACGGACCTGTACTGTGGGACAAAGCCTGACTCGTTTTGCCTAAATCGAGTTCCTGGCGTTTTCTTGGTTCATGTGCACTAATTCCCACAGGCTACTGATGGGAGGAACATTAGAACTGACAGAAAGACGAGGAAGGAACCAGAATGAAGGTAAAATCCACCTGCAGATCCACAGACTGACCTTCTTCTTCTCTGGTTCCTGTTTAGAGTCTTCAGACGGCGGCGCTCATGGGAACCACGTGGAGGACGAGTTATAACCACTGGACCTGGAAAACTTCTTCACTATTTATTGACTCCTTCTCAGCTCTTTGCCTTTTTTAATCGCCTCGTTTTTTTTTTGTTTTTTGTTTTTTTATTGGCCCGTTTGTCCAGTTCTGACTCCATTCTAAGACCCCCCCACCCCCCTGTCTAACTGGTTTCACTGGGACCCTCTGACGCTGCTGCCTGTGGACCCAGAGAGAAAAAAGCCCGGTTTAGTCCGAGTCCTGAGCCAAAGTGCGGAGCTGCCATCTCCAGCCACCGGGGGCGCTGTCACTTCATCACAAAGTTGAATAAAAATAGTTCAGAAGTAAAAAGAAGTAAATGTAACATTTCATCAGGATCCAGTCTGGTTTAAACCGGATCTTCAAACTGGATTACTTGAAGCGGTTCTGGAGCGTTGGGCGTGGACCTCATGGGTTCCATGTCAGTGGAGGAGGGGGGGTAGCACCGACTTGGTTCCGGTTCACAGCACAGCTGTTGGACAAGGTTTGGTCTGACTGGGGAATCAGTGGGTGGACTGGTGTCACTGGTTTCACTCAGTCGGGCCGTAGGAGGTTCCCCCTGATCGGGTCGGAGATCAGGACGGATTTTGTTCCAGAACCAGAAGAACTTTGGGTGGTTTTTCCTTTAATAAAGAATCTGTTTGAACCTCGTCTGTCCTGTTTGCTTTGAGGAAGCGGGACACCTGATTGGACGAACCAGCGAGACGTTAGAAAGGATGCTGACCTTAAAACTGGTTCTTTTCTGTAGAAGAACCAGTACCAGCCCTGTTTCACCTCTGGACCCACCAGAACCGGGCTTTGGGTCGGATCTGTGACTTTGGAGCGAAAAGACAAACAAGATTCTGATGATGATGAAAAGTTTGTTTGTGAATAAAGTTTTCTTTATTTGAATTGGCTGTTTTGAGTGTGAGTGGTTTGATTAAACGTTGGACGGTCCCCCACCCAGATTAGATGAATAATCTGAGACTAAAAGCATTCAAATTAATTTCTTCAGTTTAACGGAGAGGAAACTATTAAGGCTCAGATGTTCCTTAAACAGTGCAGATAATATAATGTACAAAAGAATGGAAAAACTATCTTTAATATGCTGTAAATTCTAAACTGTAAAATAATTTGAAAAAATAATTTTGAAATATACATCCATAAAAACAAAAGCTGAAGTGTTAAAATACTTCAGCAGCTTTATATCTCCAATTCACATCATCTCAGGTCGCTTTTCATTTTCTAATAGAGTTGGTTGCCAATGTGACTCCATAGCTCCCTGCTAACCTCAGCAGGCATGTTAGTAGCACGTTAGCAGCGGTTCCAGGCCTTCACAGGCCCGCCGGTTCCAGGCCCGCCGATGGGGAATAAAGCCCCCAGGAAAAAAAAGAAATTATAAAAACATGGAAAAGGATCCTGGGCGACTTTCACTTCTGCCAACAGAATAAACCCAAATAATAGTTCGAGATTCATTGAACATTTTTGGTTTGAGAGCAAAGCAATGAAACCAATTACCGTATTGGCTCAATTATAAAACGAGGGTTTTTTTTTTTGTTAAAAGTGATGTTAAATTGTCTGATCTATTATACAGGCTGGCAGAGGTCTGGGGCCGCTACACCAACGCAGCAGCAGAGGGCGCCATTTCTTCTCAAGCCAGTGAACTCACTGTGGCTGGAGTCATATTTCTATCACAACAGAGAAGAAAAGGATACTACAGATGGAGAGTTGCTGAACAGAGAGACAGAAAAGTTCACAGACATTTGAGTTATGGAGTCAGTTTTAAAATAATGATGGACAGCGCAGCGCAGGCATCAAACAACCGCCAGGATGCAAGGAAATATGGAGTTATAGAGAGCAATGCCAGAGGATGATGCATTCAAAAACACAGTCTGGAAAATTCAAACTGCAAAAGCTAATAAATAAATAGCAGAGCTGCAAGGTGAGAGTGGGAGTGACAGCGAGAGTGGGAGTGACGGTGAGCGGCAGGGTGAGTGTGGGAGTGACGGCGAGCTCCAGGGTGAGTGTGGGAGTGACGGCGAGCTCCAGGGTGAGAGTGGGAG